AGGGGAGGATATTTACCGTAGTTGCCACGCGACGGGTGTGCAACCACAGATTTTTTTTATTTTTCGTTGTTATTTAAAAGACACTACTGCCCGTCTTATGAATAGTTTTCCTCTGTCGTCTCTTACGATACCCACGGGAATATATGGGGTAGCGTAGTATACTTTCACCGCCACTGCACGGTTTTCCCTTGTTTTAACCCTTGAGCTTTTTAAATAAAAAAAGAATAATTAAACAGTCCACAATATGTGTAGCTATTGCGTAATACGATATAATATATAAAAAATATTTGAGTTGAAAATCCTCGTTTGGAAGTTTGTTAAAAATAGTCTCAGACATAGAAAGGGTGTCACACCTTCTACGTTTTACACTATGGGGATCATTCACTTCAATTCAATTAGGATTAAAACCAAAAAAGCTCCGAAATAAATATCAGTAAAGTTAGTATGATTGCAAAAATAATTGTTGAATTCCCTTGTCCTTTTCTTTTAAGATTTAGGATATTACTAAGCTCTTTTTGATCGGGTAACATTTAGTTTATTCATCACAATTCTTAACAAGTTTACTGCTGAACATATGCTTCACCCAAGGAATGCCAAATAATAGTTATTATTTTTATTATTATATATTTTGTATCAAATAATATATATTTTAATATATTCCCAAGGACAGATGAAGAAATTTATGGGCTACAGCAACCACTTACCATCAGGTGGACTGTGTGCTCGTTTGTCACTCTTATCCTATAAAAAAGCCACAAAACAAGGTCACCAACCACATGAAATCATTAACTTTCTACATGCCTTATCAGGTCGTCACTTATGGGGCTCGAGAACTTTTCTTTCTCAACGGTTGTATCATCCTTCCTGTACTCATCCTTTGTACAATTATTAGTAAGTGGTGTTGACGTGTGAATGTGTAATTTCTAACAAAGTATTAACTCGAAGTGTAGTTTAAATACATGTAGTTTATATTGACTGTTATAAAAACTGATGACAAAAAAAAACAGAAAAAAACTAATAAAATTACATAATGTAACGCGGCCGTTGCTACAGCTATAGCGGGGACTCACTCGTGCGGCGCGGGCCACGCGGGCGCGTGCTTGTGCGTGGCCGCGCGAGCGCGCGCTAGCAGCGAGATCACGGCGCGCTTAGTCGGCGACATGGCGGCCCGCGCGCCACCCAGCAGCGGCCGCTTGCGCGCTGCGCTCGCAGCCGCCCCACCCGCACCTAATCAACATCGATAGTGTGCTTAAAATAATCTAAATAAAGTGGTAGTTTTACGCTGCAGCGCTAAGTCTTTCGTAGTGGAGCAGCTTCTAGCCCCCTCAATCCTCTTAAAATTCCCAAGCAGTCGCATGCGTCCGTCAAATTCCAAGCGGTCGCATGCGACCGCACGCACACACAGCACTTTAAACCATTAAAACTTATATTTAAAGTAGTCTTTAGTTTTCTATAAAGAAATTTAGCAATATAGAATCTATACGAAATTTTCTATCCTGTGGTCTAAACAAGTCAGTTACTCTATGTATTTTATTTTTATTCTCTTGTCAATTTACGATTTTTGCCGACCGTACGAAAATGGCGCAAATTTACGGTAGATTAAAAATAAAAATTCATAGAGTAACTGACTTTTGTTTAGACTATATAGTAGAGAATTTTGTATAGATTTTATAATGCCAAACTGCTTCATAGAAAAGTAGTCTTTAAATATAAGTTTTTATATGTTATAATGCTGTGGGTGGGTGCGGTCTCATGAAACCTCTAGGGATTTGACGGAATGTGGCTGTGGTCTAATGAGACCGCTAGGGGATTGAGCGGCTAGCTGTGTAAGTTATGCATCTCAAGAAAATTCATGTATTACAAATATAGAGATTACCACGCGCTTAGCTTAGGCCTGTACATAACTCAGCACAAACCGCTTGTGCACCGCGCTCGCAGACGCCCCGTGCACGTTTCGCAACGAACCAACATCGATAGTGTACATAAACTATCCAAATAAAAATAAAAATTGGAAGGTGTATGTTATTGGGAATTAGAATATAGATACGACAAACAGTCGCCATTATTATTACTAGAACAACGAGGCTGTTATGCATAATACCCACTCCAAAATCGATATGGATTGTGTTCGTAAACATAAACAATCTAAATAAAAATAAAACAAGAAAAAGTACATGATTGTGTAATGCTACAGTGATGGAGCTGCTTCTAGGTAGGATTCCATTACTGTATACGAGTTCGATATGTAGAACAAATTATGCAGCTCATGAGAAATTACATATTAAAAAAAGCGATCACCGCGAACAATGCTCAACCCTCGTGCTTACTCTCACTAGAATAACAAGGCTATCGTACATAATACGCGTAGCCCCTAATCGATTTTGATATTGATAGTGTACAGTCAAAATGAAAACAAAAGGTGGAACTTGGTAGAGCTACGCCGCAGTGCCAAAGCGTTCGTAGTGGAGCTGATTCTAGGTAGAACTCATATACTGCCAGGACTTCAATGAGGTGATCAAGTCAGAGGTCACCGTGCGCTCAATCGGTGATATGGCGGCCCACGCGCCACCCAGCAACGGCAGCTTGTGCGCCGCTCTCACCGACGCCCCACCCGCACCTAACCGATACCGATACTGTGCATGAACTATCTAAATAATAATAAAATGAGAAAATTACGTGGTGTAGAAAATGGACTCCACGATCAAGAGTCGCACTTGCTATAACTAGATCAACGAAGCTGTCATAAATAATAATATACGAGTACATAAACCTGCACCTATTGATTATCTATTAATGAACATAAAAAATAAAAATAAGACATAAAAATACGTGGCAGTGTCATGGCGCAGAGTGAAGACGTACTTGTCGGACCTGATTATAGGTAGAACACTATTAATGTCTAGGAATTCGATATGGTGTTCAAGTAATCAGAGCAGAAATGGCAGCCTGCATACCATCTAGCACTCGCTCCTAATCGACATCGATAGTGAACTTATACAATCTAAAAAAAAAGAAAAGAACGTGGCGTTGGGGATTGCACCACATGATCAACGGTCATGCTGACTATCACTTGAACAACGAAACTGCTGTACATAATATACATGTACCCGCACCTAATCATTATCGATTCTAATAGTGAATGAAAATAAACAATCAAAATAAAAATAAAATGGAAAAACTAGGTAAAATAGGCGTTCGTGGTGGAGCCACTTTTAAGGTGGGACTCGATGTATGCCAAGGATTTTAATAACCTGATCAAGTCATGCAGTTCACGAGAATTCGTATATTATGAAATATAGAGATCACTGCACGCATAGTCGGGGTAACGGTAGCCCGGGCGCTAGTCAGCAGAGACCTCTAGCTCCTCGTACTCGCAGCCAGTCCACCCATACCTAGCCGACATTGGCAGTGTACATAAACAGTCTAAATAAAATATAATAATAAAAAGAGGACGTGGTAGAATCATACCGCAGTGCGAATGTGCGTACGTGGTAGAGCCACTTTCTAGGTTGGACTTCTTTACTGTCTAGGGTTCAAGGAAATGATAGTCATACAGATCATAAAAAAAATCAATTTTATTAAACTTTATTATGGAAGTTTTAAACGTCATCAATAACATATACATAAACAATAAATACCACTTGCGCTAATAAGTAATTTATTTTAATTAATTTAACTTTTTTTTTAATTAATTTGATTGATTACGAAAATTCCAACTTTATTAAACTTTGATAAATAAATGAAAATTTCAGAAAATAAATACAACTTATACAACAAATTCCAAATAAGAAGTTACATAATATAGTTATTCACTTGGTAAAATATGATAAAAAATTTAGTATAATTAATAGTTGAGTGAAAAGAAATGCTTATTTTTAGTAAAGATTTAATATATTTGTGGCTTAATAAAATTTGACGTACCTACCTTGCGTCGCTAGCGCATGCACGGCGGCCGGCTTTACGCCGCGTAGAGCGGGATGAGCGTGTAATACCCCACCAAGTACTGGGCTGCTCAGGCCTAGTATATCACCGCCACCTGGTTGTTTGTGCATGTTAGACACGTGCGTTGGTTAGTTGTTGTTAATTTACACAATGACCATTCATAGCGAAATCATATTAATAATAAATTATATATTTACAATATAAAAAGCATTTATACATGATAGACCGTGTAGTGACTGCGAAGAGTTTCTACTACCCCATTTATCCCGTCGTTATCGAAGAGGCCACAGAGGAAAACTAAAACAGAAGATGGGCCGCAGCATCTTTCTGATAATAAATCAAAATAGTTAAAAAACTAAGGTTCCCAACTCGCTTACTAAGCGTTTATGACGAATATAAAACTATGAGGCAGTAATGGGAGCCTGTGTACAGTCGTGAACTTTTGTTAGGATGATATGATTTAGTGAATTCTCATAAACTGTCACTGTTCGACGTATTACTTATAGATAACAACTTAAATTACAACACCGACATTACTTTAAACATGGTACGTTTTTAGTAATTCCTATTACCATGGTAATATTGTTTTTTCATTAAGCATTTTATAAACGAAACAAATATTAAATTTATTATGTACACGTGGATTTTATTCAAATATACCTATAACGTCAAGAGAGAAAAGCAAATACACATAAAGTGGCTTACCTAAAATCGAGTTCTGGGCAATCAAATGGTGCGTCGGAGGTTGTTGAAGTACTCCACTCCCAACAAGTACCCCGTGCCCGGCGTGACCAGCCGCCATCTACGCATAATAGAACTCTCTCAATTTCCAGTCAAAGAAGTTTTTTATTTGTCACTTTGATATTATTCGATCTTTTACTACTTCAAACAATATGGATAAAATATATTGTGTCACAAAAAATAAGGTTGAATTTTAAAATTATTTTCTTATATTACTGAAGTATCAAGGTTTACATTTATCGACTACTAGCTGATTCCCGCACGTTGCAGCCGCAGAAGGAATAGTTGTTAAAATGATAATAAATTCATTACAGTGGAATGATATATAACTTTCAAATAAATTTGTCGGTACGATACGTGCGCCACCTAACCTTACTTTTATTTTTAATTCCCGACGTTTCGGGTGCTTTCCAGCACCCATGGTCACGGGGGACTGAGATGACTGACGTCCCGATGTCATTGTTAAACCCGGAGTACCTTCAGCTTTTTTAATTATTGTTTACGGTCCGATCTATGCAAAATGAACTGACTATGTCCTGAGGTCTTGCAGTGGTATGCTTGGGTTTAGTTTTAATTTTATTGATTATAGGATCCCAAGCAGGTGGTAGTACCCAGCCTCCTTCTCTATTGAAATTAGGCTGTTTTTTAATTTCAATAGCCTCACGTATCTTCCTTGGTAGGAATCGGTGTTCTTTCGCCAGGATTTGTGGTCTATCAAATCTGATGTAATGGTTGGGTCCGTCTAGGATATGATCACGTTCCGGGAAGTCTGCAGTTTCAGTCACAAACTTCATTTTGCATAGATCGGACCGTAAACAATAATTAAAAAAGCTGAAGGTACTCCGGGTTTAACAATGACATCGGGACGTCAGTCATCTCAGTCCCCCGTGACCATGGGTGCTGGAAAGCGCCCGAAACGTCGGGAATTAAAAATAAAAGTAAATAAAAAGTGAATTACTTGATATATTTATCTATATTGTAAAACGATTTCATTTAAATATATAGTAAAATATTAAGTGAAACCTTCATCATTCACGGATTGAGCAAATGATCGCTATTTATTATTTACAATCTAGGCTGTTATTACATAAAAACTTATATTATAATATGATGACCAATTTATAAAACTTTATTACTTAAATTGAATAATTATATTCAAATACCACTACAACTATTTCATATTTAAAGAATACAACATAATTACGATAATGTAAGCTATAGAAAATTATGTTTAGATTCGCGTCATTCTGAGTCGACTTTATCACATTTTTAGGGCCACACAGGAGGAGGAGGGAAGCCACACAGCCCTGTCTGACACCTTTATGGATGTGAAACCAGTCCGAGTAGACCCCGTTGATCCTAACACAAGCACTAGAGTCCATATAAAGAGACTCCAATGCCTGTATCAAGCCAGCGCTCAACCCAAATGAGTTCAGTGTTTGCCATAGCACATCCCTATCCACTCTGTCATAGGCCTTTTCCAAGTCCATGAACGCACAAAAAACCTTTTGGTTTTTGGCCAAAAAACTTCTCCGCGCTCATGCGCATGGAAAAGACTTGATCTGTACATCCCATTCCCTTTCTGAATCCCGCTTGCACATCCCAAATTTTTCCATCAGTTTCTTTCATGACCCTTTCAATCAGTACCTTAGCGTACAGTTTTCCCACAATACTAAGAAGGCTGATGCCACGGTAATTTTTACAGTCCCGCTGCGACCCTTTTCCTTTATATACTGGGACTATTACGGCTTTGCACCAGTCTACCGGTACCCGCTTCAGTTCCCAGCATAAATTAAACAAGGTGTGCAGCAGGCCTGCCACGACTTCCTCTCCACCCCTTAGCATTAATTTTATTAATGTATTATTTGTTTAATACAATAAAATAAATAATAAAATCTATACACAAGGCCGCGCTGAAAAAACCGTAATCCGTGTGTAATTTTGTGATTTTGTGTTTGTCTTCTTATTTTGTGATTCGGTTTTAAGTTTTTGGACTGTTTTTTCTATATTCGTTGAAGCATGTGCCCACATCACAAAGGATGATTGGGCAAAAGTGGTAGAAAAAATAAAAATATTGATTATGGATGACTTTGAAAGAGACATTAATTTTGACTACATTATTTAAAATCAGATAATTATTAATCTAGTTGTACTGAAAGTGACTGAATAAATTTATTTTAAATCTAGTTTAAATCTTAATTTTTTTAAATAGTGCCTCTAGAAATAAGCAGTAACAGCAAACACGAATAAACTGAAAAATATTGGGTTTTAAATTATCCGTTTTTAATTTAACCTGGTATTATTCAAACCAAACTGTAAATGAATACAAACTCGAAATAACCGATATCGATTTTTTAAAAATCGAATTATGTATGTTCCCATTTTTTGGTTAGCATGCTTGGTGCAATAAGTTCGACAGCTGTCAAAATGTATTTCTTAGATTTGCTTGACTATAAGTTAATTAAAGGTGATAAAATCCGTATAAGTTGTTTTATTCAATACTTATATACTCGTATACGGGATTGATAAGAATAGAACTAAAAATTACAAAATTAGGCTGCAAATAAATCAATAATTTTACTTGATGATGCGTAGCTGATAGGTGTTCTGGTGCAGGTGTTGGTGCTGGTGGAGAGAAATCTCTCGCGTTTGCTGCATGGTTCATAGCGATACCCGCCGGTAGTGAAGTTGGCACTGGCGCAGGCTGTACATTGGGCATCTGGTAACAATTTCATAAATATCTTGCAAACAATTAGAACCGACAAACGTTGTGAACATAATTTCCTTGAAGGAATCCACTTGAAACAGGTCCATTAGTTGATAGATGTAAGACTTCTTTACTGCTTTGATCTCCTTCTAGGTTCGTACCATTTTATAAATGCTACCACTACCACAGCCACGCTGTAGTAACCTGTAATTGTACTAGCTTTACCTTTTATAATAGAACATTGCAGCAGATTTACGACAGAAATAGTTAACAGGGTAATTTTTGTAGTATTAGGCTGAAAACCGAGTACACAACAATGATGATGGGGCCCACAGACACCTACATCCATCCTCGATTGAGAATCACAATGAACATATGTTGTTATCCCGTGAGGACTAGGACATATTAGCACACAGACAATCCAGAGGCTTGGTGCGCGTCATAATTGATGCCTGTTACATGGCACTAGTGCACTCTAGTAATAAGTAGCAGAGCTAATCCTTCTAGAGAATTCCATACTAGAACATACTACATCTAGTCATTCGGGACTGGTATTCACTCGAACATTCTAAACGTGTTAGTAAAATAAGGCCTATATAAGGCAAGTAAGAGCCGCGACCAAGTCAGAGTGGAATTGATGATACAAGCTAATAATTCGAAGCGATATAATTCGAACTAGTGTTCAGTGTGATTTATAGTTAGTGTGTTTTAAGTTGTAATTGTTATTCTGTAGTTAAAGTGTTAATTTTGGTAATTCAATCGGCAGTTATTATTGTCATGAAACCCCAAGCTCGTAACATTATTTTACTCTGGTATTTTTTGAGAGAGTGACCCTTCTTCGATCGAGCCGAACCATTCGTGCCATAACTATATAGCAGGGTACCATCGCGCCCACATTCTGACTGATCTTCTTCTTTTCCGTAAAAGTCCATTGCTGATCATTGAACTCTCCCGTTACCGGTACGATTTTCCCTAATTGTCACACTTGCCAGGCGGATTGATAATCGCAGTAATACGTCGTACGTCTCGCACCTTAGACGCTGATATGGTTCGGGTGTAAACGAGGTGATTATATTTATTTATTCATCGAAGATCGACCTTACATTATATAATTACTAGCGATCCGCCCGACTTTGCGCTGGTGACTTCTGAATCTCGACAACAGCGTCACTTACCGGTCCAATTGTAAATCTAAGCTATGCTCCTTTAATGCACACAAAATATTTCATTAAAATCATTTAAAGTGTTTTCGAGTTTTAGCGAGACTTACGAACAGCGATTAATAATTATGCATTGATTAATCAATCGCCGTCACATTTTTCTCGCATTTCTTATAGTTTCCCCATATTACATGCAACGGAACGAAATGGGTTTATGAATTCGCTTATCATTCCAGCTAAGGGGGGGGGGCTGTTTTGTTTTTTTTTTTTTTTTTTTTGTTTCTTTTTTTTTTCCCCGGGTGTGTTTTACTTTTTTTTTTTTTTTTTTTTTGGGGTTTTTTTTTTTTTTTTTTTTGGTTAATAATAAACATTGTAGTCTATAAACGTTTACATATTATATTATTTTTATTTTGGAAAATAGAAATGTAGATATTTGGGCACCCCTGAGGACTGATATGGATTACATCGTCATCATATGAAACAGTAGCCTAAACTCTTAGTTTATTAAGATTCTTTTTCTATTTTACTTATGTTTTATTGTAATATGCTATTCAAATTTTGACATTACTTACTCGTTGTTTTGGAACCGCGTCTCTAAGAGGTAAAGTTTCTTCACTCCCACTTCTGGATGAATCTGGTGGTGTTAGCCTCCTTTGATCGTTTTGTGACGAAAGAATTTGCATCTCCAGCATTTGTTCTTGTCTTATATCGTCGTTGTAATCCTAAAACACGGAGAAAATTATTTAAAAAGGGACAATTATTCTCAGTTTCAAATGAAAATACATTTGTCAATGGTTGGATTATGAAGTTAGACATCGTCAACTCATTCTTATTTCATTCCTAACATAAGCATATTAAGGATACTCGTACTTTGATGTTCAACGTTTCAGTAGCACAATGGCTAAGTATTTGGCTTCGTCGCTGCGTCCCACAGGATTAATTTCCGTAAGAAGCAGGTCATTTTGTATGGCCTTTAATAATTGTTCCGTGCATGAAGTACGGATGTAAGTCATGTGCAATTTACGCGGGTGAGTTACGAAAGCTTTAGTGGTATTGAGAAATATATTTTTATATTAGTTTTTTAAAGAAGAGAATAGATAGGATAGTGGAGACAAGTACTAGTGTTTCATATCATCAAGCAAATACTTGTTTTGGTTGTAGTCCTTTACTGCTGCCTATACGAGAATAAGAAACTAACAGTTAAGTTTAAAGTAAAAGTAAGAGAAGAGCCGACATACAATAGTTATAATATTATATACGTTAGAATTTGGAGAGCATATAACCACAATCTGTAAGAAAGCCTACAGAAATTTGGGATTCGTACTACGGCTAGCTAGGGACTTCACTAATATAAAGGCAGTTATTGCATTATATAATTTTTTAGTGAGGAGCCAATTAGAATTCAACGCGGTTATCTGGTCTCCACATGAAACTAAGTATAATATCATGTTGGAGAGAGTGCAGAATATATTTATTAGATATTTATATCAAAAAATGTATGGAGTATACCCATTTTACCCAAATAAGTATCCTACGTTATTCACCTTAGGTATGGTAGGATACAATGAGCTAAAGGTTAGGAGGAATTTAGCGCTTGTTTCATATATCTCAATGAGCAATGGAATTCCACCAATAATTAATATTAACAATTTGAAATATATTTTTAATTCATTCATTAAATACAATCACAATTTACTCACAGGTACTAAAAATCTCCTCAGCTCTGCTAACGCGTAGGCGATACGAGCATGTGCTTCGGCTGGAGTGGCAAAAGCACTTATTTCAACGTGTAATTCATCCGATAAGTGCGCGAATTTGGGGTCACCGGAGACTCGGAGTTCTTCCTCCTTAAAATATTTTATTAGATTGAATTAAAGTGATAATTGTAGTAAGTTTGTACCTGAGATTATACAAATACAACATTTTAGTGGTTAAATATGGAATAAAGCAAAATATATACATATATCAATACTTAACCGTTTATTTTCCGCGTTATTTTGTCTTTGTGTCTACAGTTAAACGTTGTAGGGCTAATTTTGAGTTAATTCAAATAACATTCGCTGAATTACCACTAACTTTTATTGTTATATAGGCTGAATTTTAGTATTGTATGGAAAAAATCACATGAAGTCTATGGAAAGATATATTTTTTCCTTTAGGATTCTACTCTGCTCATCTCTTTTACCCATTTTTATTTTCAGACGATAAAAAAAATTTACTTCTTTACTTCGTTTACGAATTACATCATTTTTTTCCGGACGGTAAAAAGTCAGCCGGCATAAAAATAGGTCATTATCCTTAATCTATATTATGTTAATAGAATTAAATTAGGTGACTTTATTTACTAACGAAGTTAATCTTTTTCACATTCAATTAAGAAATATATTTATACCTAGTGAGAGTAAAAAACCATTCTATACCTTCTGACGATCTTTCATAGACCCCCGTCCTAGCACAGCCATCTTACACATGGTGTCCTCTTGAAGCCTCTTTAAAGAGTTCCCTTTTGGACCCAAGAGCTTGCCGACGAAATTAAACTGAAAAAGCAAAATATAGTTCCAAAAAAAAAAGTTTTTTTTAATGTATTCTATTTTCACCTCTAGTGAACGGCTCCGTGACGCAGTGGCTTAGCTAGTTACGATACCATAAAAAGGGTTGTAGGTTCAAATCCCACACAGAACACGTACTTGTATGACTTACAAAAAGTTGTTCCGTGTCCACATGTTTTTCTAGTGCAATTTATGTTTGAAAATTGCCTCTACAATATAGGAGAAAATCCTAGAATGGGGGGAACGTTTTAAAAAAAATAATAGAGTAAACGAGTTAATATTCCATCTGGTGGTAAGTAACCAATAATGCCATAGATACATCAGATACAAAGAAATCTACATTTTATTATGCGTTTTCACCTCTGAGGATTAAGGTGGATGGCTCACAGCTAGTGTTAATTCTGACAGTCTATACCCTTCAATTCGTAATACAGCATTGTAAGCACTGCTGCTTGGTAGCAGAAATTAGTTCGAATGCGGTACCTACTTAGCTGGACACCTAGGCAGATAAGGAGTCTTACCACCTCCCTCCGTTACATATACATACGTACAAAGCGTCACGCCTGTAATCCCCGAGGGTGTAGGCAGAGTATCAAAAGCAGCGAGCTATGCGGATCAGATAATACTGCTGTGTTTCGTGTGGTGAGTGTAGAGATTCGGATACCAGACCACCACTAGAAACGGGACATTTCATCTTAGTCCTTACGGGTGACAACGCATCTACGTTTTGATTCTTAATCGAGGATAAATGTAGAAGTCTATGGGTCACAGCATTTACTTACCATCAGGTGCAGTATGTGCTCGTTTGACACCCTCATTCTATTTTTTTTAAATCGTTTAGCAAAAAAAATTTCTTTAGATGGCAAATTGTGAAAGAAGTGTAAGGTGACTTTTAATATATTTCATTTGGGAAGTACAACAATATAAGAGTAGAGGAAGTCCAAAGAAAAGATGGATGGACTGTATTATGGATGATATGCGTACGAAACAAGTGAGTGAATACATGACACTTAATAAAGGATGACTAAATGAAACAGGAAGATTATCTTTGCTGACTCCAAGTAACTTGGGATAAGAGCTGGAAGAAGAAAACAGCGTTTAGTTACTAACCCATCGCCTACACAATCTCAAACCCAATATATCATCAGTCGTCTTTTTCAAGTAGCACAATTGTCATATTCTTTTTTATAGTAAATCCTATAATATGACTATAGGACCTGTAAGTCCTAAATTAACACGGGAGAACCTCCGTTGCCTATAGCAAAAAATACTTACAATACGTAATGAAATAGGGCTTAAGTGCTGATTTTGTATAGGTACAAAAAACGAAGTTGAAATTATTTTATTTTATCACAATACCTAATTAATACCTAATAAATAAATAAATAAAAAATAAGTTAAATTTTTAACAATATGAATCTCTGCATGAATGTCTGTATCTTACTTTATTTTTATTAATTAATTTTACTTTATTTTTATTAATAGTATTGATTAAGTATTATTTTCGTTTTTTTTCTTTAATTTAATAACATAGTTATGACGGACACTTACTTTAGGGTGATCACGCACGGGCACTACAACTCGCACACACACTTTTACGGGCTTATCACGTGTTATGTCCAACATTCTTCTTTCACCACGCCATTCACCTGTTAACAAAGTAAAAAGAAAAGCTAAAGAAATGCTCGAGAACTGTAGCTGTTAGGCCAAACGCACAGTGTGATACAAAAACGCTGGAAACTGTTGCTGTAAAGCACACTGTAATGCCATTTAAAATCGTATAGGACATCGAAACAGTGTTTTAATAAACTGTTTTAGGTCAAACCTCTGTATGGAAAGTTTAATTGAGTTTAACTTTTTGATCGATATAGAATCCATAACATTTTTTCTATCTCCTCGTTGGTCACTTTAAAACAAATTAGGATGAAACTACGGTATTTTCACGAAACTTGGCGTAGTTATAGTTTATACTCTGGAATAACTAATTTCAGTATATTTTTTTAAATATTCCGATCAATCAATCAATATTTCAACAAATCAATCAATCTGGTCTAGTGCAATAAGCAATAAGAAACTTGGCGTAGTTATAGTTTATACTCTGGAATAACTAGTTTCAGAATTTTTTTTAAATATTCTAATCAATCAATCAATATTCCAACAAATCAATCAATCTGGTCTAGTGCGGGTTGCACTAAGCAATAAGGTACAATTCTTTTTATACATCAGTTATACATTTATGTATTATTTAAAAAAGAGAAAGAATAAGCAAAAATTAAAAAATAGCATCATTTAAAATGAGAACGTTATTCAATAGAATCTGCGCGGTGATTTCGCGTGCTATACGTAAAGCCACCAACAATCAACATAGAGGGCGGGATTGGACTGCGCCTGCGCTAGGACTGCATAAGAAATCCCTGGCCAGAACAATACTTCATGTGCCCGCCTTTTACAGCGGTCTATCCCTAAATGTCCATCATGTATGATTTTTAACATTTCGGTTCTTAAGGAACTGAGAATTAATATTTGTTTATTTTTAAATATCGCACCATTTACACAAAATAAATCGCTTCTCATGGACCAATAATATTTTAAATTATCCTCAATATCACGTTTATATTCCGGCTAACCCAGATTTGTAAATTTGTTTTAAATTATTACCTTTTAAAGTGTCATTTTTAATTACACATATTTTTTATGTGAAACGGGCATGTTAAGCATGCTGGTATCGAATCTAAGGGCTTTTTAAAAATGCTTTCTAGCGGTTTATTATCTGATTCAATTAAAATATCACTTTTACCGTAAAGATATAGGTGGAACTTTTCACATGCAAAGAGAATAGCCAGCATTTCTTTTTCTAGCTGCGCATATCGGGGGAAATATAACCTCAAATGACTTAGCAAGATCCTCCGTTATGCCGAAAGTATTGCAACATTAATTTTGAAATAAATATATGGTAAAGTTGAGGACTAATGTTAAGGTTTGTGTTAGAAGAAAACACGATTCCGTAAAATTTCAAAACCGAAAAAAAACTAGCTCCGTGAATTTTAGTCGCAAGTTCCTTGATGGTTGGCAGTTGGAAATGTACACGCTGTATACCATTATTCTATCGGTCTCGGAGAGGTCTCGGATCTAAATAAATTCGTAATATTCCACTATTTTTTGCTGCAATTACTCGTACTATTGAATTAACCCATTATGTTGGGTGAATGACCTTTTTAATGACTCCTACGTCAGTCATCCTGTGTAATTCTTCTTAATAATTTATCACGTAATCCTAGAGGTACTTCTCGCGGAGCACAAACTACCGGTTTAACTGAGGTATCAATAACTATATGGTAATCACCAGGTCCTACCTATCCTATTCTACCTTCAAAAAGATCCGAGTTTTCTACCATATTAATGCCGTAAACACGTTGAATTAATCCTAGTTCCACGTTCACACGTTTGTTGAACCAGCACACTTTCACAATTTATATTTGCTATTGCAAATTATAAAACATACATTTTATTTTTATGCCACCAACAAGCTCCTCTTATCGGAATAACATCCCCGCTAAACGATTGTAATTTCATTTTATTATTATTACATATGATTTCCATGTTGGTACCAAACGTCAAAAATTTCTTGTAACATAAGACATTAATGTGTGAAGGCATCGAGGTACAGAGCAGACTGACGGGGTGGCAACAGAGGCTGGAAAGTGTTGGCTTGAAGATCAGCAGATCCAAAACCGAATATCTGTGCTGTGATTTCGGCGGTCTTTCCAGTCCTGTACCCATGTCGTTGGATGGCGCTATACTGCCTACCTGCTCAGAATTCAAGTACCTCGGTTCCCTCATTCAAGGCGACGGCGGAATAGATAGAGCTGTGCAGCATAGGATTAACGCAGGGGTGGATGAAATGGCGACAGGTCACAGCCACAACGTGCGATCCCCGAATGCCAATAAGGCTGAAGGGGAAAATTTACAAATCGATCATCCGACCTGTCGTCATGTATGGAAGTGAATGCTGGGCCGTCAAGAAGAAGGATGAAAATAGACTGCATGCGAATGAAATGAGAATGTTACGATGGATGTGTGGTGTGACAAGGATGGATAAGATAAGGAATGAGTATATAAGAGGAAGCCTGAAAGTAGCGCCAGTGGTAGAAAAGGTGAGAGGAAGCAGATTGGCATGGTTTGGGCATGTGATGCGGAGGGATGAAAGTCATGTCACAAAACGAGTGTTGAATATGAATGTGGAGGGACACACGGGCAGAGGAAGGCCGAATAAAAGATGGATCGATTGTGTGAAGAATGATATGAGAATGAAAGGAGTAAGTATGGAAATGACGGCTGATAGAGAGGAATGGAACAACAAGATTTACTGCGCCGACCCCAGATAATGGGAAATGGTTTAGAGAATGATGATGAACATAAGACATTAATGTCGGCACATAGAATTTCACCGAAATGGCTGCACCACAACGTGGAAAAGGCGACGCCGTGGTCCTGCCGTGCGCACCTCGCGCACCACGCCAGTCCCCGCGACAGACATTGCGCCCGCCACCGCGCCGCCCGCCGCCGCGCAACGACAGCGCCTCAACGCGCACGGGCTCGCAGCTTGCCGAACTGCTGAAGCTTGCCATCACACACTTGCTGTCTATCGACATTTCATCCACTTGACATGTTTTAATTGCTTTCTACAAAGTCAATTCATCTGTCCGTAGCAACCGATCCCTTACAATTGTGCTCCCTATGCCACACATAATACGGTCGCGAATCAACTCTTGCTCAAAATTTTTAAATTCACAATTTTTACTGAGTAACTTTAACACTGTTACATATTGATCAATGGATTCTCCAGATTCTTGATACATCGTAAAGAAATCATATCTCAGTAATGTTATATTAGATTTAACACCGAAATACTCATCAAATTTTTTCATCAATATTTTAACGTTCTCACGCTGCTCTTGTGAATCGAATGTAAAAGTTTCGTAAACATCAAATCCATCTGATCCAATCAGATTAATTAGCAAACTCGACTGTATGCTTTCTTCTTCTTTGTGCACCTCCGATCCTTGAAAAAGATTGAATTGTGCCTTCTACCGTTTCCATGCGCAGCCCGGCCGACGGGGCTGCCATCTAAACCCAATTCGCTAGGTGGTCTTGTTTGCTACATCCCTTACACTTAATTTACACCACAAATTAACGTTAATATTTAAACGTAAATCCAAAATTATTTAAGTATTTTAACCACTGCCACCATGTAGTGACAATGAAACAGCGGAGTTCAGATGACAACTGTTTTTAATAATAAAGGTGGTTCTTAACATACAATATTTTAGGAGTACCCACAACAGTAAAAAACTTATTTAACGAATAATATTGGATTTAATTTTGTAACTTTTTTCATTCCCAATTTTTTATGAAATTCTGTTCCAAAATGAAAGTAAGCTATTCTCTGTACATACGAGTATTGTTACTTTTTCTTAATTATTTAACAATTCGCAAGGCACTCTGCCATGGCATAAATGTATTAAAGGCACGAGTTCTCTAAAAATTACCATTTCAAGTATAACGCCAGAGCATTCCATTCCAGATATTTGAATAATTCAAGACTACCCATCAAATTATACGGACGGCGAACCTGTTACATTAGCAACGGTCACGGCATATTTTTCATATTATTCAAAGTAAAATAATGTTGCTTGTGCTAGAGACAGTATGACTGAAAATATGACTATAGCGGACTCATCGAAAAATCGTCAGAGTCGTGCAGTCATTATTATATATATCGTTGCTCAGCAGCAGACTTGTGAAGGGCTGTAAAGATTATTGAAATGATAATGATGTACCGATGCCCGATCTAGTGGTTCATCAAGTGGGCGACCGACACTTTGCTTACCACTACAAGACTGCCACTCGAAAACTTTCTTACCCACCAGTTGTAAGTTCTTCAAGCTACATGGACAGCCTATTGTTACTTCAGCTTGCTTGATCCATTGGGATACGAGTATGTTGGTTACTCTGGTATCCTCACTACAAAAAATCTCACCCTAACACTTCGGATATCTGCAATACAACAAAATCACTAAATGTTTGATTGAAATGCGAGCTAAATAGATAACTGAAGGGCTCAAACCTCGCCGAGTGTCTGGTTGTCCGACGTTCGTAAACAGATAGAGAAATTTATTATATAATTCCTGAACATACTCTCTTTTAGCCACTCCACTTTAAAAAATGAGGTCTTCCAGTAGGAACTAGATATGTTGACAGTTTAATTTAGAACTTTAATGCGTGGTAGAGCCATGCTGCAATTAATATATGGTTGTAACATGTCTGAGTCGGTCCGACCGGGGAAGGACCACACTCTCATAAAATACAGGAGAGAAATGAAAGCTTAATGCTGTTGTGTTTCCTATGGTGAGGGTATAGAACTGGTGACCCTTTATACTGAGTACGACGCACTCCATTTTAGCCCTCAAAGGTGATAACACATCTGCATTTTTCTTTTTAATCCTGAATAGATGTAGATGTCTATAGGTCACGGTACCCACTTAACATCAAGTGGACTTTGTGCTCGTTTGTCAACCTTATTCTATTAAAAAAAACGAAATAAGTCACGTATATCAAGATAATTGCACCCTTCTCACGTTGATTCGTG